GTTGGGGGGGGAGGGGGGGGGGGGGGGGGGGGGGGAAGGGGAGGATGTGGAGGACGAGAAGGGAGCCCTCTGTCTTTGATGTACATTCTGCTGCAAGAGATGAAATAATGATTTTTAATCATGCTTCTTTGAATGTACAAAGACATTGATTCCCATTTAACTATTTAAACAAAGCACAGAGATCTGTTGCACACGCCAGTTCTCTGCATTGAGTGTAGGGCTACTCACTGACGAGCAGGTGCACTAATTAAAGACCTGCTGCTGCTGCTGCTTTGGAATAGGCTGTGCTGTGGCAATCTGGAGTAGCAGGCACCATGTGGACCTTTCATCTGGAGGAAAAAGAGAAAAGCTTCCCTGGGGCAATACATGCCTCTGCGGCTCAGCCCGCTTACCCCCTTTATGAACAGATTTTCTCTGCTATGTCCCCTAGACTGCTGAGGTGCCTTCATCTCCATGCCCTCAGAGATTCCTTCCCTTCAGGGCTCCTGAAGCAGCTCTCCCTTCCTTTGGGCAGTTTGTGAACAACAGCATGGGAGTGAATGGGAGAGAGGAGTCTGACAGAGAATGAATGGAAGGAAGTGTGTGTATGGGTGAGTGTCAGGATGAGTGTGAGAGAGGGGATGAATGGCTGGAGCAGAGTAAACATGACTGACTGCAGGCAAGGTTTGTTTGGAAAAGGGGAGGGATGGATGGGGAAGTGAGGAGGGGAGGACGACAAGGAAGAAGGGAAGCAAAAAGCAACGTGAGAAAAAGGAGAAAGCAGAACCTTAGAAAATGGGTAATCCAGAGAGAAGAGGGCACCAAGAAGAATGGGGTTCAAGGTAAGTTTGAGAGGGACTGTGGGGAGCTAGCTGAGGGAAATAAATAGGAATGGGAGAGGAATTTAAGGAGAAGAGGAAGAGAGAGATGGTGGTAGGAATTGGGGATGGAGGAGAGACTCAGTAAGTAGGAAGAGGCAAGAACAGGTGATAAAATAATAAAAAGGGTGGGAAACAGGACATGGAAGTGAGAGGGGAGAGAAGAAAAGAAAGGCAAAGTGTATGGTAGTGAATAACTTGAAGGCTATAGGGAGTTGTATTATTGTTCTCGGAACTTGTTCCCTTGGATGTGAGACATTAATTGACTGCAAAACACTCACCTTCACTTTGTGGTATATTTCAGATAGTATACCAAGGTAATCCTTATGCACCACATAACTCCACAGTGTACCTTACCTATGAAAGAGGAGTAGAGATTGGATGCTGGGGCATGTGCATCAATGCAATTTCTTCATCACTCTATTCCTGTAAGTACCTGGGAATGTACCCATCTGGCCCAAGAATAGGGGACAAGGTGGGCCGGTTTCAGGTTGGGGTGGGGTGAGCAGAGGCCTCCCTCCAGCACTCCCCAGGCCCAGGCCGGGGACGAGAGGTGGGGCTGTGCAGGCCAACCCCAGCAGCACTCCCTGGGCTTGCAGAGCCATTCTGGGTGGCCGAGCAGTATTGACAGATGGCTGACTGTGTGTCAGAGGGTGGGGAGGGGGTCAAGGCTGTGCTGCCCAACCCCGGTGGTGCTTAGGGGGACCACGGCAGTGACTCCCCCCCCCCCTTGTCCAGCACTAGAGCCTGGTGGGAGGGAGGGGGGAAGTGAATGGTTTGGGGCAGGAGAAGTGGTCCATATGTGTTCAAATGGATCCCAAAGGTGAATGCTGGAGCTAGAGTGGATACACTAGGGATTGTTCTAAGGTTCTGTTTCACCAACAATCCTGCAGCCATGGCCTCTCCCCATCTGTACTCCTCACAAGACAAAGTCATCACAGTGTATTGCAAGACCTTGTGACAAAAATGAATCCTGCCCTGCAATAGCATTGAGCAAATGTGTTAGACCAGGGCCAAAAAATCTGCTTTCTAATCCGTGGCAGGGTGATAAGGGAATAATATATGTATTTTTTAAATTAAAAAACTTAACTTCCTATGTAGGCAAGCAAGCAAGTGGACTTTTGAAAGGCTGAGTTATGCAGTGAATAAAATGGCCATATTCAAATCTTGTGCAGGTCCTTTCCTTTTGGTCTCAGTAGTAGATAGCTATGTAGTACTTCCTTCAACTCCAACAAGAATGTCTAAAACTGGCGTCAAATGCCCTGATGTCAAATAATGGATCTTTGTTTTCATCCTAACTTCTCTGAATGATTATGTTGTAATTGAGTGCTCAGAAGAAATACTGTTGTAATTACTAGGTTGTTGTTTTTTTTTAAAAGTCTCAGCAGTCCCCCTCCCCTTTCTTTTCACAGACTTGCAAAAACGTCTTTTGCCTTATATAGGATTAAAGGGACTTTATTTCATTGGATACCTGCTTTTTGGGGTAGGCACTGGGTTTATCGGACTGTTTCCCAAGGTATATTCTACTCTGGCTCTGTGCTCGCTCTTTGGAGTCATGTCCAGCACGCTATACACTGTCCCGTTCAACCTCATTGCAGAATATCACAGGGAAGAAGAGGTGAGTTTAACGTGTAGGTAAAGAAGGAACTGGTACTTGCCTTGGTTTGTCCATGTTATTTATATTTCAAATTAAGTGTTGCAGCAGAGGTGCCATGAGGGGAAGTTGAGTTTCCAGTGTCTGGAGCTTTAATAATGTGGTGATAAATAATGCTACTGTTACAAATCATTTTCAATTGTAAAACACTTTTGATCTGAGGAGCTCAAAGAACTCCAGAAACCTAAATGAAGCCTTGTTCCAATCCTGTGAGAATGGTATGAATCAGTATGGCTGTGTCTACACTGAACCCCTTTTCCGGAAAAGGGATGCAGATGAGACAAGTCGGAATTGCAAATGCAGCGGGGATTTAAATTTTCCCCGCTCCATTTGCATGAACATGGCTGCTGCTTTTTTCCAGCTTGGGGCTTTGCCGGAAAAAAGCGCCAGTCTAGACAGGGATCTTTCGGAAAATAAAGCCTTTTCCGAAAGGTCCCTTATTCCTGATTTTAAGAGGAATAAGGGACTTTTCGGAAAAGGCTTTATTTTCCGAAAGATCCCTGTCTAGACTGGCGCTTTTTTCCGGCAAAGCCCCGAGCCGGAAAAAAGCGGCAACCATGTTCATGCAAATGGAGCAGGGAAAATTTAAATCCCCGCTGCATTTGCAATTCCGACTTGTCTCATCTGCATCCCTTTTCCGGAGAAGGGGTCCAGTGTAGACACAGCCTACATGTATGTACCAACCCTGTTCCTGCAAGCAAGACTGGGAGCCAGATCTTCATCTTGTATGAATCACTGAAGCTCTGTTTACTTCAGTGGAACTGGGCCAGTGTTGAAGATGCAGCTGAGTCCCAAAAGTAAATAACCAAAATATGCAAGGACATTTAAATAGCTTAGTTAACTAAATGTATGGTACGAATGTTTTGTTAAAGAAATGGAATTTAATGCAGTTCAGCATTAAGTTATTGAATAAAAAGAAGGTACTTGTTATGCTGGAATAGGGATTTATATGCAAATTAACAACCTGCAGTGATATAATTTCTCTACCAGATCACATTTAGCCTAGCATTCTGTCTTTGAGAGTGGACAGCACCAAATGCTTTGGAAGTTATGAGAAATCCCATAGTGGACAATTCTGGCATGACCAGACATTGGTAACATTTCTTCCAGACCTCTGTGAGAGTTGTTGGCTCATGCCCTGAAGCATGTGTGTCATTCCTTTAAAAACTGCTTTTATCCTGTATAGAGTCATGAAAATAGTATGAGGTTCTCATTATCCATACAAATGTTTGGAATCTGCTTGCAAGCCTGGACAGTGTGAAATACAGCTCCAAGATAAAACCTTGAAAGAACTTCATTTCTTATACTCAATTCTATCATCTTACTAGGCACAGCAGGTCCTTCATGTCATGTAAGATAAGATGTTAAGATCTTTAAAGAAAAGTTCTCTCAAGTGTCTTAAGTTGGTGGAACCATTTGAGACATGAAAGATTAATAAGAATATGGTGGTCTTGATCTTTTAAAAAGTTTTTAATATATGTTAGAACTGGAAACTGTAGGAAGATGAATAAATGAAATGTGAGCAAAGCCAAATATATGCTGCAAGCAGTGTAAGGCTAGATTGAGTCAGAAGGAAATACAGCAACTATAAGAACAAGTGAAAATGCAACGCAACAGTTGAAAAGATAACAGAAAGCTCTTATTCCAATGAATCCTTGGAGGGTATTTTTCTTGGGTGGAATATTTCCCAGAATTGACTTTTAATTTTGCCAGTTAATGTTCTTGACAGTTCAGATCAGTTGTAACTAAGTATTTTAGAAAGACTTAATGGATGGGGCTGAACCACAAAGCTAAAATGTGTGTGTGTGTGTGGTGGGGGGGGAAGGGGATTTAACTCGTTTCAGGCTAGTCCATTATGGTGATAGGAATACGATGCATAATGCAAATCTAGCTTTAGGGAGGTTCAGGGATGCTGGATTCAGACCCATCTGTCATTAGATGTAACTGAATTAAAAGATGTGCAAGTGGAAAGGTGAAGTTCATCTTTAATAAGCCAGTGTTCTCAAAGAGATAGATAATCAGAAGAAAACCATTTGCTTCTGTTTTGATGCCAGATGCTTGATTAACTCTGTTGGATGGTATGGTTTCACCAGTTCTGACATTAACACAGTTAGTTTTAATCTCAACTTTCTAAAATATACAGGATAGAGTATCTAATAGTTGACCAGATTTCTTCAAACATTGACGTACTTTTTGGTGGAACGATAGGCACATCATGAGACTAAGCATACGCCAGTAAAACATTTGCCATTTCAATAAAAACAACGATGTAAGCAGCCAAAATATCCCCGTTGACATGCTTTTGCATGATGTCATAAAAATAAATGTGGTTAGATCACATAATTTAAGAAAAACATAGAACAAAGAGCAGACCTTTTTAATCAATGGGCTTTCTATTACAACTGAACTGCACTGGGAAGTAAACTATTGGCCTCTCAGTCCCACTTATGCATTGTGCACAAAGCTCACTTGTTCTCTCTTATCTGAATAGGGTTGACTGTACCTGATTTGGAAGACAGTAGGGGTAGGATTCATGCTTGGACGTAAATATTGTAGTGCTGAAAGTCACAGCCCCTAACTTTAGGTGGAAAGGAGGAGGAAGTGGCAGTGGCACCCATGCTAAAACTTAGCTCAGTGGCTCAAGGACTAGTGAATAATTCCCCCTGGCTCAATGACAGTTTATGTACTGTATTTTCCGGCGTATAAGGCTACTGGGCGTATAAGACGACCCCCTAATTTTTTAGTTAAAAGATAGGTTTTCGTCTTATACCCCAGCGCCCCTTCGCCTCCTTTGCTCCCGGTGTCCCTGGTCTGCTGGAGACGGTCCCCAGCAAACCAGAGGCACCGGGAGCAAAGCCGCAGCAGCTTTGCAAAGCCTCGGGGGAAGCCGGCGGGGGGGGCGGCC